CCGAAGCAACACACGTCAGTTCTTATTTTCGCGCTCGGCCCCCGAGCTTGGTGCTAGCTAGCGCCACGCGCTGTTTGCCCTTCTGGAGCATGGCAGATGCCATAGTCATCTCGGTCTCTATTTACCAGAGCAGAAAATTCTCTCCATCCTTACCATTAAAGGTCTTAACGCTATCATAAGCGGTATGGGCGGGAGGAGTCATCCGTCGTCGACAGTGGCGTCGTGGACGAACTAACGCCGCCAGCTTTTACTCTGGGTTCACTAGCAGAGCATTTTTGTAGTTTAAAACGCCTCTAGGCGCGTGTGCTTATGGCCTCAGGCACTTGCGCAACGAGGTGCTCTACGCCCTCGAGGCCCAAAAGGGACATCAGCTTACACGCTAATCCTGCATACGCTAGTGCAAATATGAGTATTCTTCTATTCTCACCGACGATCAGTTGTAACGACCCAGGCGTAGATCGAATACAAGTGCTACCAAATACAGCGGGGCTGCCGTAGCTTTTTGCTAAGAGAAAAGCGAAGCTGAGGTCACCGACCTTACGTTCCTTACAAATACCAGTATGAGTGTATCGGATCGCAATCCGCTAACTCCAAGAGTACCGAAAAAGTTTACCAAGGTAAACAGACTCCACCGCTCAAAATTAAGCTTGAATTTAATTATTTAAGTTGCGGCAGGGCCGGCAGTATCTAAAACCTTAGGTTTTCCTAGTTAATATAGTAATATCTAATTAATATAGTAACCTAATTTATTTGCATAGCTATTAGCAATCCTGCCACGTTGCGCCAACTCGACGAAGCAGCGGTCCATTTTGTTCTCGTTTTCAAGGTGAACACATGTCCGCTAAGAGACAAGCTTAGCTGCGATGGGCTAGGCTGGGTCGGAAGATCACGATTCTTGATTCGTCGCCAACAATGATACAATCCATATAAAACATGTTGGTTCTGTTTCGGTTAAGAATGGAGGAAGCGTCGAAGAGTTCTGAAACCGATCTTTGCCGTTTAGGTGTAGAACGCTCTTCAGGTTAGCTTGTTCACTGGATCGCTTCATTGTTGATCTGAAAGCGATTGCTTTAAATATAAGGTCTGCAAAAGTATCAAGGTACTTTTGACTTTGAGTACATTTATGTACCTTCTTTATGCATTTTGGGAATCAATAAAAGAAGATTACAGTTGGGTGTTCTCCAATGCATACGTGATAACCTTTTTGAAGTCACAAATATTCAATGTGATATTGAATGCTGGTTCCTACTTGGGGATCTGTACTTGCGATGAGACCGACATGTCTCAGTCTTTAGAACTGGAAGCGTATGACAGTCACTTCTACTGGATATTTTCCACGAGAGTTGAAGTTCAACTTTTGAACCTCACGCTCCGTACACTCAAGACCTTGTATCGTTGAATCTGAGGTTTAAACTCAGTAAACCCTTGAGATACAAATCAGGCACCCAAGTTTTTATCAGTCAGACCTCTAAGAACTCTTGGGGTGTTTTGCATGTAGCTAGGACCATGACTTATTTCAATTCAGTTGAAAATTTGACTTCAAGGGCTTGATTCCTTCTTCTTTACTCCAAGTCGAGACTGTCCTTGTCCCTCCACATCGAGAATCGCTCCCTCGTCGCACAAACGTGTGTGTTGTGCTTGAGGTACTGTTTGTGAACAGCGCCCTCTTACACCTAATAGCGATTCGGGCGATCTTTTTAGCGACACTTGATTTTGGTTTGACGACGCGGCTGTTGAGCATGTCGCGCATTCCAATCCAAGCTATACTCTTGTTCTCATCCGAGCGACATGGAAGGAGTTGGGGTACCACTCGGTTGATTCGTACCGCAAACTGAGGTGTTGACGAATGAGATGTTTCCTCATTTGTCTTCACATGAGTGGATGCCACTCGAACGGATGTGAGGAGTCATCAGAGAAGCTGCAGTAGTCAGTTTACTGCAGTCGTCTTCTCCGGATAACCAAAAGTACGTAGCCGTAAGTTTCATGCATCATGAAACTATGGAATGTCGGAAGCAGGTCGCAACCCTTATTTCTTCGTACAAAACGCCACCTTTGAAACTGAATGTGTCTTCGCACCGTGGTGGAGAGAACGAGCCTCCATCACGATGTGTTGTCAAGTTAGAAACAGCAATCCCTGCAAGACAGTTACGATATCCCTAATGTCCAACCTTGCGGGTCGCTCTAAGTGTTGGGTGTTTGGGAAGCGTTTAGCCGATCTATACTGCTTTCCAAGCTACCAACACTTCAGAGTTAAGCTAAATAAGACATTTAAACCACCACAGAATGATTTACGTGCCCGTGCCGAGTTCTTGAAGCTTGGTCAAGGTCATTACGACCTACACTCGAATACACAGCGTGCTCGCTACTTGGTATCGATCATTGTCGATGAGCCAATTAACGTTTCACCGCAAGTCGTAACGTTCATGGCAGGCTTAAATGATGATACAATTCGGAATCAATTGTTCCATGAGTATCCCAAGATGCTAAGCGATGCCATTAACCGTGCGATGCGAGAAGAGTGCACTTTTCTTTTTATTATCGTGCACAATTTGCCGATTGCCACTATCCTGTCTGATATTGGGGAATCTTACTACTTTGTCGAGCCCGTATCGTGCTTCTACTACGCACGAAAAGAAGTCACTTTGTTCTCGCTATCAGGATCATTGTGACGAACACAACTATCCAAAAGTAACGATCATGGGAAGTCTCTTGCCAACCCGCGTGATAATTTAATGAAATAAATATAAGATAGATTTGTAGAACCTTCTAGGTTAGGTGCTCACTCCTAGCACTCTACAAAAGTCATCAATTACATATTCAGGACGAATGACAGGTTCAGCTCTTTTGGTACCGACAGTACCATTTCTGTGACTTCGCCGTCTTGCAGTTCCTTTCAAATTTCTTTGAGGGGTCATATATCTCGCTCTATGGAGACATTTGTTGGGGGTAGTGAGGAGAGGCCTACAACCTAGAAACTGCGCTTACGAGTGATAAATTAATTTTGTAATTTAAACCTGGTTTTACACTGCTCCGCACGATAGTCTCGTCACAAGGCAGGGCTAACATAGCAGCAGCACCACATCGTAACATAGTTAACGCATCTTTATGATCTTCAGTGTTTGATCCATCTACTCGCGAAGTGCGGTTGCCCATGAAATTCAGCTTTCGCACGGAAAAAATCGTGACACAGAATTGCTTCCGCTCATAGATTTTGGTGCTAGCGACAAAAGGTCACGTCTGTTTTGCTATTCCTTACCAAAGAGCCAGTAAAATATTTTGGGGCCACGACAGTCAGTCGTCCTTTTTCATCTTAACGGAGAAAGACTCTTAAGACTTCGAAACACGACATTGAATTTCTTTCTCATTTTGATACCTCGGCTTACTACCGCTTCTGCCTTGCAAGCTTTACCGAAGGCACCCAGAAATACCATTGCTGTTAAACTCGGACAACGACATGTCCAGTACGACAGCTACCGCAAATTCACGCTTACGTCAAAAACATTCCTGTAGCCTAACAGGTGTGTATTCATACATGACACCTAGCACTTTCAGCTTCCATTCATCCATGGCCATATGTGTTTCAGCCGCACCACACGTAGAATGATATCGTATCTCAAATTAAGGGTTAAGGCAAGACAACCTTTTTCCGCTGTCAAACATCTCATACTGCACTTGACGGTTTTCATAACCTTATATATGTGAAATGATTCTGTCATCTATGATGCCATCGCATACTGTTGATCAATTTTGACAGTGGTGTATCAAACGCAATTGCGCGACTCTCCCAATCTGTCAAGACTTTTCACCAATTCACAAAGCCAGCGACGCTAAATTATCAATCATGAACCCCGGGATGTGAGGCCCACCGCTTTTTTGAGAATCTTTTTATGTTTTAGGGCTAGGTCACGCCAATCACGGCCATCATGAGCCTGTATGAGAACCAGCGACTGAACAATTCATGTTTCATCCTCCCACAACTCGGTCGTAGGATAAACAACAACAAGTGCAACGGGTTTGCCGTGCACTTTAAGGCTATGCCGGAGGCTTAAAAGCGCGACTTCAAGAAAATTGAATATTCTGTTAGTCTCTTAACAAATTTTGTCGAGATGGAAAAAGGGTCTATGAGGCCCGAGTGGTGGTCTAGGAAAGTATAAATCATCACTCGTCGTTCAAGCAGCAGTCAACTTCGATTGAGTCGACTCTTTGGTGCAGTACCATCCGGACGGTGAACTAAAAAAAAATATTACTAATCAGTCGTCGTTCATGCAACAGTCAACTTCGATTAAGTCAATTCTATGGTGCAGTACCATCCCTCTTTTTTAACGCATGGTGGCATTTGCAGGCATCCCGTTGCACCACTTTTGACAGGCATCGTTCGCAACTCATTCTGATTAGGAAATTATTAAGCAACATACCACGTAAATGCCATATGTTCTACTCATATTGTGGCCAGATCTAAGGTCAATGCTAAGGGGTAGTAGTAGCCGTGCTTCACTAGAAACAGAATGCATTGAATCTACGATTCCGCATAAACAGACGACTAGACGATGGTTTCGCTTGCTTCTCGTAAGAGCGGAACGAAGAGCCTCTTCACCGCAGTTTCTGAAGCTCATCAAGTCAATTGGTTTTGTGTTTGTGCTGGAGAACAATGAGAGAAGGTGAAAGAAATTATTGACTTCTGTTTATTTTCCGATTGTCCTGTATCTGATGTTCTAGAACTAGGCTAGAATTATGGGAGATGTTTATAATTCTCTTTTTCTATCGTGTACACAAGAGCAGCTCTTCGATAATCACCAGATGTACATCACGAGGAATTTTGTAGATATGATTAGAAAAATCAGAATATTATCACGATGAAACAATCACAAACTTTTTTGTCGTCCTAGCAGATAATGTGTGCATGAACTCGTGTGCGAAGTGCATGAAATAAACAAAATAATAAGTTTTGTGTAAACGTTGGGTGGCAAGTTTGCATAGCAGAAGTATTTTATTCGCTAATTATGCCATTTAACGAGTCCGTCGATCTGCTGCCGCTTCTTGGTCATGCTGGTGCTGTCGAGGCAGATAAAAATGACTACGCTTTGCGTCTCGGCCGGAAAAGGAAGTGCTTACTTGCTGTAATATGCACAATTTCTGCAATACTACTGGTCGTGCACATTGTGTTCGTAGCGTTGCTGATGCAGGCGACTGGCACGCTCGAGAAATTGACACTTCCAGACATATGTCACCAACATTCGGTGGGAGAGCTCATTATAAAGCTTCACAATCCGTCGTATTGCTCACCTGTGGTAGGACCAATAGTTATTATCTTGTCCAAAGAGAAGATGTCATTTCTGAGTGTTCGAACTCCTTCAATTAATCTTCAATCTGGTCTGTCAACTATGGTATCAGAAGTCAAGTATGATCTTTTAGCAGATCCAAATGTGTTTTTCAATCTCGTGCTTAACCACGATGGCAATATTGACGTACATGGAGATATTCCAGTTTATATTTCGTGCATGCTGATCCCCTTCACCATTCACTTGGATGTTTCAAATTTGCTCGGCAAACAGTCAAGCCAGATACTTGATACAGAAATATCTCTGAAGTCGCAATACGCGATAGATTTCCTGCGATATGAAGTGAATGCATGGAGATCGAGTGTCGTGGATAACATTAAGACTGAGTTACAACGTGTTGTGACACAGGTGCTTACGACTATCGTGCTCTCACATTTTTATACCTACACTGATGACCAAGGGATATTTGCATTTACGGATGTGTCGTTTGAGTATTCATCCAGGGTGCTATTAAACATTCCTTCTCTATTAGTAAAAGTTCAATCTGCTGATAGGCAAACTATTCTAGTCGTTGGGCTCAAGCAATTTTTTCTAGGAAATGGCAAGACATTCATTTCCGCTTACACGGAAGTTTTTAAGAACCAGTCAGATCCATTGCAGTCTATGTTACAAGCTTACTTAGCGGGGAAGGATCTTGTCCTTTCTGCAAGTGGAAGCAATGCCAACACAAATTGCTATTCCTTGCATCTACTAGATCTAGTTAATATAAAATTGGATGTTCCCGCCAAGATTGATGGCAAGCCGGCGTTTCTTCGAGAGTGCTTCATCAAACCGACTTTCAAGGAAATTGACTCAAAGACGCGCAGGTGTTTGCTAAATCTAGAATTGCTTGTCACGATTAATAACCCACTGCCAATTCATTTCGACCTCTATGAGATTGAGCTTGACCTGCTTTACGAAAGATGGACTATCCGAAATCGAACGACTCCGAAATTTCTCGCTCATGTTAACAGTAGCAAGCACGTTTCTTGGTCGTCACACGTGCAGAGCAGCATCTTTCTAAAAACGACTGTGCAAAATTTTGAAAATTGCATGGATGTGGTGGAGCTTTACCTCCACGACCAGCTAGCATTCGACATAAAGCATGGCCGCATCTACATGGGTGTCGGCAGCGGAAACATAAGCATTCAATTCACAATGAGAGATGTTCACATACATCTTGTCCGGTCGAGTTTGCCGACGACAATCAAACGATAAACACAAGATAATTAGCGGCTGTCGTTAAGATCGAGAGGTCTCGAATCACTGTGACTCTACTGGTTGCGAGCTACATATTTTGTTACAAATATACTTGGTTTTGGTATACTGAAGGTATCTTTAACCTTGGAGCTTAGAAAATCCTATACATGCTGACAAGTGTTTGGTCAGGGGTCAAAGTAAGATTTGCGTTCGAGAATGCTCGATGAGTGCTGGTATGACAAACGTATCTCAAGCAGGAAGGCGTTTCTACAATATCGAACACAACACTTCTTGTGATCCAAAAAATGTCCTCGGAAGTAAGCTGGTAGTCTCCCGCAGTCAATTAAACTCGATGAGTCTTGTAAATATCCGGACAGGGGTACGGATGGAGTCTGGGTGCTGCTGATCTGTATGTTACTGGCTTAGTTTCCGGACCAGCGTGTCCTGGCATGGAAAAAGTTTACTTCTGACAGGTTTGTATGCTCCTGGTTTGTCCTTGTGATCGGATGTTTTCTTGATACACTAAGCTTTCGTCTACAATACGTGAAACATAAAATTTAGATGAATCGACGCATTTGATGTTAAATTCCTCTCGGCGAATGGAAAATTTACTATGTATGGGTTTCAGTTTCTGCCGTTGCACCGCCGTAAAGTGACAACGACACTTCTAAAGTGTCTTGCCAGCAAAGAATCTGTAAAGATTAACTATTTCCCAAACTTAGCGTTGGCTTGTTGGCCATGGGAGCGAGGTGTTGCTGTGATGCATTCAAAGAGACCGTAGGTGAAACCTTTTGACGACGTGATGACGGCGTATGAGCTGTAGTTAAGTGGAAGTGTAGCTTCGATGACGACTTCAGTAGTGACAAAGTATTGAGCAGTTGCCCACTCAAGTGGACTGGTGAAAAATCGTTATGGTAAAGGCAGTCAATACTATTGGAACGCTTGACATGGGTGCAGATAAATACTGGAATCGGTCACTCAATACAATGCGTTGTGCTGCGTGTTGTACAGCATGTTGGCGAAAAATAGAAGATTGTAAATCTTGATGTTCTGAGCCCACACTTAGTTTAGCGGATTTTCCTTGATGGCGAGTCGGTAGAATGCGACTCCGAACATCACCAATCAACACAAGGGTGCGAGCCCGCGAGCTTTGCGAGTTCTTATGCATAAAAGTGAATGCGGCAAAGCACAACAATGAATGCATTGGAGCGCGCGGTGGCGCGTCCAATGCGCCGATCGGATCAAAAAACTTGTCGCAAAGTCCTTCACTTGTAATTCGATGACTTAAATTTGGCAGATAAAAAGTGATAATATCGCTGCATGTAGTGACAACAAATAATCAAACATCAACTGCATCGTTGCAGTAAATTGTTGACGACCCGCTCACGGAGAAATGTAGTAACGTTAGCGACCTAGTTGACATGATGATCTTTCAGCGATGATAGCATATGTATAGCACCTACGCAGAGTAGCATAACCGGGTGGTGATTAATTAGTAGCTTCCGACCACCGACAGAGAGACGTGGGTGCGTTGTGATTAGTCATTCCACCATGTATATGTACAAGGCTAGACTGTGCGCCAATACGTCTGCTTTTTTGTCATATCGAAGGAAGTGTTCCTGCACATCCGCGTCGCAGATTGTCCATGTAGCTTCGCGCATATTCCCCTGGTCGCAACTAGCGCGTTCCATATGACCATCAATCAATTTGTGGATGGTCTGTCGTGAGTATATGCAAGCACTTTGAACATAGATCGCCAAAATCTCGCTGCATCTCAATCGAGACAATTGCAACCATATGGCGACTGGAAGCAGCATGAGTAGCAGGGTTACATGTGAAGGGTGGTCACAAAAGATGGTGTTAACGTTCAAAGGTATGGATTACTCGAGTCGGTGCAATCACACGACGTTGTGGCTACACCGTAACAAGAAGTTACTACGTGGCGGGACTGCCGCATATTAATTAGGTTCTACTATTTTATCAGGAAAACCTAAGATTTTAGGTATAGTCGGCCCTGCCGCAATTAGAACAAAAAATACAGTTGCGAAGGGTGTATATGCCTTGAGTTAAGGTTTTGGGTAAGCGGATTGCAATCCACTACACTCGTATTGGTTCTTGTAAAGAACGTAAGGTCGGTGACCTTAACTAAGCTTCCTTTCAGCGAAAGCGTTACGGTAGCCCCGCTGCACTTGGTAGCACTTGTAGTCAATCTACACCTGATTCGTAACGACTGATCTTCTGTGAGGATGGAGCAATTCTCCTATTTTTCCTGGTCATGTTGGACGGGCTTAAAAAGCTGATGTCAGGGCGTGCAACACCTCGCTTCGCATGGACCTGCAGTGATCCGCGCATCTACAGGCTTTTTCGGACTATGAAAATGCTCTGTTGGTGTACTTAGAGCAAAAAAATATCGGCGACACAGCGTTCATGACGCCGCCGTCGACGACGGATGACTCCTCCAGATTTAGGTCGCTTATGGTGAGCGAATCTCCTGCTCTGGAAGAGAGAGGTCGAGATGGCCATGGCATCCTCCTTGCTCATGACCGAGCAACAACGGTGGTGCTAGCTATCTCCAAGCTCGGGGATCGAGCACGAGAACGGGCACTGAGGTGCGGTATTTCGGTTGAATCGGCGTTTCCATCCTATGGGGAGCTGAAGCTGCAGCTTTTACGAGTGTTCTCACCGCCTAACCAGGCATTCGTGTGTGATCGCGTTTTCTTGCCGCCCGACAGGGCACAAAATAATTCGTGGACTTTGTCCAAGAGCTGCGTACTCTCATTGTCGGTATGGCAGCCGCTCCTCTCCTCGAGGTGGTCACATTGACCGTCTTTATGGAGGGTCTCCGCACTGACGTGGCCAGAATGGAAGTTATCCGTGTGCATCCGTCTTCTTTTGAAGAAAAGGTGAATGTGGCATTATATGCCGAATTCAACTGTAACTCTGCATAACTTGGTTGAAATGCACACTTTAGCATCTCGTCGAGCGGACATGAGCCATGAATATCAGCTCTGCTGAAAAGAGGAGACAGAGCTCCGATTGCCGGGTAGCGTTCGAACAACCGACGGTATTTTGTCTGTGTAGACACCCGTTACCTTCAGAATGGTTGTCCCCTACGCAAAGCGCCTCAAGGTTCATCGAATCGACGTACGGCTTATCATCAGTCTGGTTTGTCGCGTGTTAACAGCAGGACCCAGAAGGCGCGGGGCACCCTACTGGGGAAGAACTGGGTTATGTTGAGTTATTATGAGGCATGGCGGACAAGGCCCTTGTGATTCCCGTGGATTGGCACGTCACCCGCTGGCCACTGCTCACGTTACGAAGCAGCCAAGAGTGGTATGGTCGGAAGAGGTCCAAGGCATCATGGGCAAGGTCCTTCTGATGCGCGTGACTGGCACGTTTCCACTGATCGAAGACTGCAGAAATAGCAGCTTTTCGTCGGATGTTGTCAATTACATCAAGGCTCCGGTGGAGCAGGGAGTGGGGGCACTGAACGACGCTAAGTGCGTGTTTCCACTGGTCTCGAAGAGACGTAAATCTGGTATAGAGAGGAGTCGGCGATGCCGTATGTTATCTGGAAGACGCAGGGCGTCGACCCTGACCCAGGGTTTGTCTACCGTAAACGATAGCGCGCTGCTATACACCCTTGTCAACGGTTTGATGGGGAAACGGCGACGTCAATTCCAGCGATGGATGCTCTTTTTGAGATGGACAAGATGCCCTTCGAAAATTTTAGCGGTGCCTTGAAGGCAGGCGATTTAGCCGAGCATGTCATTATACGACCGAACATGGAGATTAACTCGTCATCGCTTATGGATGAAGCTGTCCTGGAGGATACCAAGAGTGTGCTGAGGGCACGAAGTAGATCGTCGATGCTAAATGATCCCGGATTTGTACTATCCGTTGGAGATTCAAGAAGTCGTCTCCAAAGACCCGCCGTTAGTCCTTCCTCCGGAACGAG